TTTTTTTATTAATAACATTTTTTTACATGTTATCAATAAAAGTTGATTTTCATAATTACAATAAAAGTTGATTTCCATAATTACGCAACCTCGAATATCAAAACGCACGAACAATTAAAATTCAAATTTAAATTACTCGGTTTCCGGGGATAACCGGAATATGGAATTTTTACTCGTAAAAATAGAAAGTCTATATTGTATGAAACATTTGAGTTTATTTGCGGCCTCCTGCAGCCTTTTTTTCCCGTTATTTTGTTTTTAATCAAATAAATATACTTTCATATAATTTAAGTTTTTTTTTTAGGTCCAAACAAAACTGTACAAAACAAATGTTCAAATTTCAATTTTTTTTCTTAAAGTATTTCACAAATTAAGTATTATTTACACACCTGGATAGAAGATTTTTTTTTATTCATGGAGTAGTTTTTGATGCATAGTATTTCAAAGTTGTTGTTAAAAAACAGTATTGGTACAATTTTAAGATAAATAATTTGTGTTACTTTTTTTTTCAACTTCAAACATCTATAAAAACAATATGGTTGATGAATTTCAAATTTTTTTTTCTTTCACTGACCTACAAATGTCCTCCACAATATAGATTTAAAAAATTTCAGTCTTAATAACGACCGCGCAAATTTATTTTTTGAACAAACTTTTGATCTTTAGCTAGCTATCTTATGTGAAGATAACGAAAAAAGAAATATAAATGCTTTCCAGAAAGTTTTGTTTTTTTCCATATTCTTTTTGACTTTTAAAATAATAAAAATAACGATTACAATAACTTAATAAAGTTTTATTAAGATTTGTTTAAAATAACCCATAGTTAATGTAACTTATTATTAAACGTAATTTTTTAAATTATACTTAATGATTAAAAAAATATATTTTTAAAAAAATAATGTTTTTTAATTAAAAAAATATAACATTTTAAAAATTATGTTTAGTTATTATCTCTTTTTGAATTATCTTTAATTTAAAATACACCTTAAAATCACATTAAAAATTATTAACCTTTAGTAAAGGTTAAATGAACAAATTTGGAAAAAATATAAATCAAAATTTTAAAATTAAATTAATAGTAAATAAGTTTATTAAATGCTTATGCTTTTTATTTGAATACAAAGCGTAAAACTATTTTATTAACTTACATATATTAAATTGCGTAATATTTGTAAAGTTAACAAAATAGTTTTACACCTTGTATTCAAATAACTATTCTAATAAAAATCATAAACATTTAATAAACGTATTTACTATTATTTTAATTTTAAAATTACATAACATGTAATAATTACATATTAGAATTACATAAAATACATTACATAATGTGTAATGTAAATATTGATTAAAAATTGTTTAAATTATTTAAACATTTAATTACTAATTTTTTAAAAGATTAATAACAACTAAAATTAAACTAACTGAAACTTTTTTTTTCTTTTCTTTTTGCTTCCAACAAGGCCGCAAGCAACCACTAATTAGAGTTGGAAGTTATTGGAAGAGAAAAGATGAAGAATGCAGAGCAAGATAATGATTGACAGACAACTTAAAAGAATGCAAATTATATAAAACAGGAAAGCAAGATAAAGGAAGCCAATCAAAAGAGCTGATGTTCGAGGAAAAAAAAACTAGAGGAATAAGAGTTTTTGGAGCACTTAGGAACAGTCAGAGTATAAGGATGAGACTTAATTGAATGATGAGTAACACAAGAATAAACTTTAGTAGATGGTACAAGAGACACTAGCTCTTTAGAGCAGTGCCCATTATAGTATTTGTAGAAAAGAGAAAGAGAAGCAATACTACGACGATGTGATAATTGTTAAAGGTTGGCTGCAAGAGCAGGTCCAACTATGTTTACAATGTGTTTTTGCACCTTGTCTAAAAGAGAAAGGGGATCATAAAAAGATCCGCCCCAGATATGGCAACAGTATTCCATACAAGGCTGGATTTGAGATTTATAGAAATAAAGAATAAAATCCGGAGTAAGAAAGTTTCAAGCTCGATAAAGAGATGCAACCTTAGCAGATGCTAATTTTGCAACAGATTTGATGTATGGTTTCCAAGAAAGATCAGAAGTAAGAGTTAATCCTAGAAGGTGAAGGGTAGATAACTCATTGAGTACATTACCATTCATAAATATAGGATGGTCTAAATTATTGCGATGGCGATTGGCTAAAAAAAGTTGGGCTTTATCTGAATTAAAGTTCACCAGCCACTGTGGGCCTCATGCTATAGCAGAAGTGAGATACTTTTCAAGCTCAAATGCCCTCTGCAAGCAATCAGAGATTGTTGGCTTCTTAACATGATAAGATTAAATGGTACTATCATCAATGAACAATGCCACCCTAGATCTGAGAACATCTGGAAGATCGTTAATGTAAATTAAAAAGAATATAGGACCAAGGATTGAACCTTAAGGAACCCCCAAGGTTCCAGAATAAGAAGAAGAGTGCTGTCCATTGAGAACAACTTTTATACTACGATTGTAAAGAAAGGATTCAATATTCAATAATCTTAAAGATGCTACCAGATACACCGTAAAAAAAATGGTTATGGAGAAGACCAAAATGCACAACTTTATCAAAAGCTTTAGAAATATCAATGGCCTTAACCTCTCCACCTTTATCTAATGCATGATAAAACCTATTGGTTATTACTGTTAGCAAATTAGCCGTAGAACAAGAAGATCGAAATCCATATTGATGGTCAGAAAGTAAGTTATTAGATTCAAGATGAGAGATTAAGTGTTGGTTAACTAAAGATTCAAAAACCTTGCTTATGATAAGAAGAAGACTAATGGGGCAGTAATTAGACAAATCAGATCGCTCTCCAGAATTTTTGTAAATAGGGATAACAGACGCTGTTTTCCAGCAGGCTAGAAAACAAGACTCTAATAGGCACTTGTTGAATAGTTTTGAAAGTATAGACGACAGCTCCGGAGAATATAGCATAGTTGTTATAGTCTTGCAGAAGACTATAACATACCTGTTATAGTCTTCTGCAAGACTATAACAGGTATGTTGTCCGGGCCACAAGCTGTAGAAGAGTCTAAACAGGAAATTATTTTAGATACAGAAGCTGGAGTAATACGAATGTCAAGCAATGGATCAACCTGTTTGACAGCTATATAAGGTAGGATGCAACTAGTGGAATCAATTAAGAGCAAACAATTCAGCTTTGTTTTTAGGTGAGGTGACAAAGTCTGAACCATACAAAAGAGGTGGAATTACAGACTTGCCCTTATTATTGATACTATTAAAGGTTCTTCAGAAATCACAAGAGCCTAATTTTTGTGATGAAATACAAGATTTTATGACCTGAGAATAGCGGCTTTGGCGTTAGACAAAACCTTTTTACAATGTTTTCTAGCAGTAATAAACAGACATCTGCTTTCTGGAGAATTATTTTGCTGATAGATATGGAAGTAATGGATTCGATTGGTAATTGCAGTAACACAATATGAAGAAAACCATGGAGAAAAATGAGGCTTGATTTGAAATTGTCAAGAGGGAATAAAAGATTCCATGCCAACCTGAATCCACAAAGTTATACAAGCAGCACATTTGTCAACAGTAAGATGAAAAATTTCTATTCAAGGGCCATCACAAAGAAAATCATGGAAAGAGTCCCAGTCAGCTTTAAGGTAGTTGTAAGAGGTACAATAATAGGGGGATTCAGATGATGAAGAAGAATGAGATAATAGTTTTAGAGAGATCAAACTGTGATCAAAAGCACCTAAGGGTGAATGTGGAGAAACTGACCACTGCTAGGATCAGAAACAAGACATGAGTCGAGTAGAGAAGGTAAATGATTTGGGTTGTCTGGAAAGCGAGTCCGAAAGTTGACTATTTGAGTTAGAAATTGAGAAAGGCAAAAGTGTGGGCTTTAATGCCTGCAGAGTCACTGACATTAGAGCCAAGTCATTCAGTGTGATGAACATTAAAGTCACCGACAACACCAATACTTGCTGATGGATAAAGAGAGAAGGGTTTGGTCATTATGATCAGAAATAACATCAAGAAGAGTGCAGTCTTGAGATGAAGGAGAGCAATACAGAAGAAAGAGAAAGGCAAAAGAATGAAGTGGTGCTAAACGAAAGCACATAAAAGAGTAGTCTGTGGATTCAAACCTTGTTTCCCAACAAATGGGTAAATTCTTACTAATAAAAATGCCCAAACAAAGCATGTGACTATTGGAGCCTTTATGAATTATAAAGAGATAATCATCAACACTAAGATCACAAGATAAGACAGCTGAACTCAAATTAGTCTCACAAAGAGCAAGTCTGGTCTGGTGAACTTTGCAAGAGATAAGATTCATCGGAAGAAAAGTTACTTCGAAGACCACAAATATTAGTAAATGATAGGTTTAGCGAATTTGGTGATGACAATGGTTTTTTGTGTTTTATAGTTTTTGGTACTTTATTCATTTTTAAATTTGTTAAAGAACTTGACTTGAAGCATAGATAGTACTCAGTACACTGTTTAATAGAAAGTCTTAATGAAAGTCGTTCATGAGTTAGAGTTAATCCTAGAAGTCTTAATGAAAGTCGTTCATGAGTTAGAGTTAATCCTAGAAGTCTTAATGAAAGTCGTTCATGAAAGTCTTAAGCAAAATAGTGTTTTTATTGCAACTAAAGTAACATCATTGACTGAAAAATTTAAGTATTCAAAAAAATATATATAAATAAATCAACTCCTTATCTTAGGATAAAACTAAATAAAATAAACCCAAATGATTAAAATGATGCTTGAAAAAATGATGATAAAAAATCATTGTCGCAGCACCGGTTTAATAAGGGGAGGAGAAGGAAAAGATGTGGGTGGGTAAGTGTTGGAAACTCAAAAACATCACTATTTCTCCCCCCCCCCCCTAACGTTGCAGAAAAAAAAGCAGTATCCCCAAATAAACTAATGGCTCTTCACTGAAATATTAAACAAATTTTAAATATTCATAGAAATTATTTTAAATGATTATGTATAAATATAAAAACATGTTACCTAAAAAACTAAACATTATTGAGTTTTCAATTACAGTGCCATTGAGGTACCAATTTATTTCTTTAATAAAGTTGTCTGTATTTGTTTTTATTTCAAGAATATCACTTAGATCTTTGATTACAATGGTTGGCGAAGGTGTTATCCATGTGATCTTTGGATAATCTAGCAAACAAAAAATCCCTTAAAATTAAAGAAATGTATTATAGAAAAAACCATATTTTTTATTTAACAAAATAATAAAGTTATTTACAAATTCAAAACTTTGATAGCATGCTATTGTTATTAAAATTTTGAATAAGTAAATATGTGGCCTGTCAAATCTGATTGCTAAAAAATAATAATATAAAAAAAAAAAAAATTTCTAGTTTTCTGTAAGTTCTACTGCTACAGTCGTTGAAGTTTTCAAAAATAATTAAATAATGATTCATTTCAATTTGGTTTATTAATTTTAACATTAATATTTTATATTACATGATATCTATGTCAAAATAAACAAAAAGTTTTTTTTTTTATCATAAATTTTAATAATTTTTGGTACATAAGTTTGCATTTATAAAATTAAACTTAATTTGAAACTTTATTGTCTTATTTGTTATAGTTAGAGAGATAACTTTAAATTTTTGTTGTGTCAATATAGCACCACTTATTTTTTAAATACTCTTTTTATGGTGTAGAATTCAAAAACAATTCCTAAAACACTTTAAAATTAAATTATCTGTATAAATTCGATCAAAACTGACAGATTTCAAATTTCATCAAAAAAATCTCCTTTTGCTAAAGATTTATGAAAAAGTTAAGTTTAAAATTCTCCTCATTAAATTAGGTGGAGATGGAGTGCAGGGATTCCTTAAAGTTATTCTATCAAAGGTTAATAATGCTTATGGTTATTAATGGTTAATATGGTTAATGGAATAAACCAGCTCTTGAATCCATTTATTAGAATTTTAATCAGTTTTTGCAAATTAAAAAAGTTATTAATCAGTAAATCAATTGTGTACCTTAAAGAATCTATAACTTTTGAAATATTTATTCCAAGATTTAAAATGGTGGGAGAGAGAAAAGAGGAAGAGGGAGGGAGGGGAAAGTTAATAATAAGTTTATTAAAATATATAAAGTAAACTTTTAAAACCCGCAATAGAAATAACATTCTTAGAAGTTGCAGAAGTTGCTGGTATACAAAGATGTTTTCGTTTATAGTTTGATAAAATTAAGTACTGCAACTTCATATTTTTCCGCCACTCAAAAATACTTATTGTTTCTTTAGCTGTTTCAGGTGTTATATGATGATCAATTACTATACCCAATTTAGTCATCATTGAAGCACTACACTGCTTAAATATATTGTTTCAGTCGTTTTTTAGGCAGTTTGTGGTGATTAACTTTAACATTTTCATTACTTTCATTGACTGTCTTGCTGTTACTTATTAAAGTTATTTCATGTTTTTTTCTCTATTTCCTGAGTCAATATTGCTTCTTTAATTCCATTACGTATTTTATATTTAATCAAATGCAGACCTTTGTAACGTGGGTCTAAAAAGTTTTCATAACAATTAATCAGCTGCTCGGCACTATTAGAAGGATATTTTTCCTGCAGTTCACAAATAGCATTTTTATAAATGTTCTTGTTGGCTTGTATTTGTGATGTTGATGGAAAGAAGCTCTTGGTGGAAGGAATATAGTTCAGGTATCCCATCTTGGATTGTTAGTCTTTTATCGGCTTACTAAAATATTGTAAATTTTTTCAAGAAATGGAATGCTGTATTCTAGTATCTTCCATTGATCATTTGAGACACATGTAAGGCCCTCCCAAGGGTTAGGGTAGGAGGGTGTTTAGCTCTCCTACAAAAGTAATTTGTTGGCAAATTGGATACTGGAGTCAACAAAATGAGCAGCCATGGCCCAGTAGTAGCGCATTTGCCTCAGAAAACAAAAGGTACATGGTTCAAACCCTGCATGTGGGCAAGTTTTGCGACATCGGTTAGGAAGGAGGCATGACCTTCCAATTAAATACTCATCCGCAGTGCTCTTTGATAAGACCGTAAGGACTTCTTGGGGCATCTTAATGAATTAAAAAAAAACTATGCCAAATACTCTAGCCTCAGGGGAGCGAAGTTTTTTAAACTTAAGCTGATTAAAAGTTATTTAAAAACCGCAATGAATCAAGATCGACTGTGCGCACTTTTTTTATTTAAATTTTTTTTGTCTTTAATTTCTATTAAAAATGAGATTGTCGGTAACATTAATTTAACGGAGATGATAAAAAAGCACTCTCTGTGCCTTGCGGAAGCCGATGCCTTGCCAATGATTTATTATGGTGTTAGTTTTATTTAAACAAATTTAAATATAGATTCCGTCATTAAACAGCTGCTGTATCTAAATATACAAATCTCATAAGGTTTTAGATAAATATTGGGTTTTAGAAAAATATTGGGATTAGTTAAATATTGGTGTAAAAAGAGTCACACTTGTATTTTCAATTACAAACATGTTGTTAAAAAATTTAAACTTAACTTATGTGTTATACATTGATAAATTTATGTGTTATTTAATTTTACACTATAACAATTGAGTTTATTGCATGAGAAAAGAAAGTTTGCTAATTTAATAGTGTATAAAAAATAAAAATATCAAAGCTAAATTTAGTAAATTTTATGACATTTCCTGTATTGTATTTTTGTGTTACCAAAATACATAAGCAACATATCAATGCGGTAGTGGTGTAGTGGTAGAGCGCTCGCTTCATAAACGAGTGGTTCCGAGTTCGATTCCCACCACGTCCCTGGTAGTACCGCGCTCAACTCGTTTCTCTGCACAGCGGCCTTGTTCGTCAAGGTTTGTGTTTCGGAGTTATAGAGTTGAGAGAGGGTTATAGTCACAAAATAAGTTGCCGCCTCGTCTGTAGTGGCCTTCTCGGCCTTGAGGAGGTGAAGTAAAATAAAAAAAATATAAAAAAAATTAAAAATTAAACTAAATTTTATTAAAATTTTATTTTCACAAATTTTGTAAAATTTAGTATGATTTGTTAACCATACTAAATTTTACAAAAATTGTGAAAATAAAATTTTTATTTTTGCATTTTGCATTTTCCATAGAAAGTACTAAATGTAAATAAAATAATGTTCCTTATACAAAATTACTATAAAATGTCACAACAAAAACTGCTGGCAAAATATAAAAAGAAAATAGTTTTAATTTTTGCAATGAATAATAATTTTCTGTTTGTTACTAACTTTTAAAAAATAAAAAATCATTATTATTTGCAAAGCTGTAATTACAAATTCAAGAAAAAATAAAAAATATATACATATTTTGTTTCATTTACACTAATGTCAAGAAAAGAAAGAAATTGGTTTGTATCAAATATTAATAAAAAATATTAATATTTAATATAAACTATTTAGTGATATTAAATTTATTTAATATTAATTTAAATATTAAACTTAAATGTTTAAGAAAAGTTAAAACAATATTTTTTTTCAACATCTTCACTTGCAACAAAGCTGCAAATAACAATTAGAGTTGGAATAAAAAGATAAAGTTTATAGAGTAAGATTACGATTGATAGACGACTTAAAAAATTGCAAATTATATAAAAAAGGAAAACAAGATGAAGGAAGCAAATTCCAAAGAATGATGTTCAAGGAAAAAACAAGACAAATCAGAACTTGTGGAGCACTTAGGAACAGTCAGAGTAAAAGGATGATACTTAATTGAATAACAAGTGAAATAAACAAATTGCTAACTAATATCTTGTTCTCTAATAGTTTTATAAAGGCTTTTATAAAGGTTAGGGTTAGTACTTCAGCAAACATTTTGTGTTAGTAGTAATATTCGTTATTAGTAATATTGAATTTTTCTTAATCCCTCATTTACGAGATCAATTTACAAGAATAGATTTTAGAAGATGGTACAAAAGACATTAGCTCTTTAAAGCAATGCCTAGAAAAGAGAAAGAGAAGCAACAATGTAATAATGACAATGTAATAATGACAATGTAATAAGCCAACACTCTCTGATTGCTTGGAGGGGGGCATTTGAGCTTGAAAAGAATCCCACTTCTGCTACAGCATGGGGGGTTCTTGATGGCTGGTGAACTTTAACTCAGATCAAACTTAATTTTTTCAGTTAATCATTATCACAATAGTCTAGATCTTCTTATATTTATGAACCAGTAATGTACTTGATGAGTCATCTACCCTTCGTCTTCTAGGATTAACTCTAACTTCTGATCTTTCTTGGAAACCATATTTCAAACTGATTGCAAAATTAGCATCTGCTAAGGTTGCATCTCTTTATGGCACTCGCCACTTTCTTACTCTGGATTTGATTCTTTATCATTACAAATCCGTCTTTGTATGGAATACTGTTGCCATATCTGAGGCGGATCTTCCAATGATGTTGTTTTTCTTTTAGACAAGGTACAAAAAAGATTTGTAAACATAGTTGGACCTGATCTTGCAACCAACCTCCAACCATTATTACATTGTCATTATTACATTATTGCTTCTCTTTCTCTTTTCTAGGCATTGCTCTAAAGAGCATTGCTTTAAAGAGCTAGTGCCTTTTACAAGACAAGAATAAATGATAGAATCTTCAGCGAACAATTCCGCCTTAGATGTGAGAACTTCTGGAATTCAGGGTTTAAAGGATATATTTTACATTAATGATTTCATTAATGAAATCATTAATGTAAAATATATCCTGTAAACCCTGAATGTTCTTTATATCCTGTAAACCCTGAATTTACAGGATATAAAGAAGAGTGCTGCCCATCAAGGACAAATTTTATACTATGATTTGTAAGGAAATATTCAATAATTTAAAAAATGTTACCAGATACACTGCAAGAGGAAAGCATACCAAACTTTATCAAAGGCTTTAGAAATGTCAAGAGCAACAGCCATAACCTCACCACATCTATCTAATGCACTATAAAACCTATCAGTTATTACTGCTAACAAATCAGCAGTAGATGATCAAAATCCATATTGATGGTCAGAAAGTAAGTTATTAGATTTAAGGTGTGAGATTAAGTGTTTGTTAATTAAAGACTAAAAAAACTTGCTTTTGATAGGAAGAAGACTAATGGGAAAGAAGTTAGGCTAGTCGGATTGCTCTCCAGAATTTTTGAAAATAAAAATAACAGATGCCCTAACAGATGCCCTTTCCAGCAGGGTGGAAAAAAAGACTCTGATAAGCACTTGTTAAACAGTTTTGAAAGTGTAGATGACAGCTCTGAAGAACACTTCAAAGACTATAACAGGTATGCTGTTCAGACCACAAGCTGTAGAAGAGTCTAAGCAAGAAATCATTTTAGATACAGAAGCTGGAGTGGTATGAGTGATGTGTCAAGCAATGGATAAATGTTTGTTGGCTATATCAGATATAACACAAGTTGTGGAATCAAGAGATAATATATAGATGAAAAGCTCTTAGCAAAAATTCAGCTTTATCTTTAGGTGAGATGACAAAATCTAAACCAATCAAAAGAGGTGGAATAACATTATATAGATACTATTAAAGATTAATATTATTATAGATACTGTTAAAGATTCTCCAGAAATCACAAGAGCCTAATTTTTGAGATAAAATAGGATATTTCATGACCTGAGAATAACGAATTAGAAAACCTTTTTACAATGCTTTCTAACAATAGTAAACAGACCTCTTTTTTTTGGTAAATTGTTTTGCTGATAGATATGGAAGAAATTATTTTTATTAGAAATTACAGCAGCACAATGTGAGGAATACCATGGAGAAGAGTGAGGCTTGACTTGGTATTGTCCAGGTGGAATAAAAGATTCCATGCCAGCCTGAATCCAAGAAGTTATATAAGAAGCACAGTTATCAGCAGGATGAGGAAAGTTTTCTACACAAGGGCTATCACAAAGAAAATCACAGAAAGAGTCCCAGTCAACTTTAAGGTAGTTGTAAGAGATAAGATAATAGGAGGATTCTTATAATAAAGAAGAACGAAATAAAATTTTTAAAGAGATCAAACTGTGATCAGAAGCACATAAGGGTGAATGTGGAGAAACTGAGCACTAGCAAGGATTAGAAACAAGAAATAAATCGAGTAGAGATGGTAAATGATTCAGAGTTAAAAAGTTGACTATTTGTGTTAAAGATTGAGAAAGGCAAAAGTTGTGTGCCTTAACGCCTAAGTGACTGACTCTAGAGCCAAGCCATTCAATGTGATGAGCATTAAAGTCACACACGACAACAATAATGGCTGAAGCATAAAGAGAGAGGGCATGGTCAGCTTGATTAGAAATATCATCCAAAAGATTGCAGTCTTGAGATGTAGAAAAGTGATATAGAAAAATAAAAAAAGGCAATAGATTGAAGTGGTGTTAAACAAAAGAACATAATAGAACAATCTGTGGATTTGAACCTAGTTTCCCGACAAATAAGAAAGTTCTTACAAATGTAAATGTCAAGGCCAAGCATGTGACTATTAGAGTTTTTATGAATTAAAGGAAGATAACTATTAACACTAAGATCACAAGATAAGACAGCGGATCTCAAATTAGTCTCACAAAGAACAAGTAGGTCTGGTGAACTTTGCAAGAGATAAGATATAATAACATTGATTCAATCATTTTGTTATTTGAGTTTTCAATTGAACTCATTTTGTGGTTTATCATATTGCAATGATTTAAAAAAAGTTAATTTTCATAAATAAATAAAAAATAAATAAATAAAAAGAATTTTATGATGTCAAAATTCACTTTAAGCTAATGCATTAAGCATTTTTTATTTACAACAAAGGCCTGCATATATATATATATATATATATATATATATATATATATATATATATATATATATATATATATATATATATATATATATATATATATATATATATATACCCTGTATTCAGGGCCTATTCTAGGAAAAAAATTTGGGCGGCGGTACCTCCTCGTTCTGGCAACCCTTGGTGGAAAATCAGCATTTTTTTTTCGAAAAAAACAAACAATATTTGCCATAAACAATTAAAAAAAAAAACTTCCTCAAATTTAAATTTGGGTGGCGCCCAAATACGGTCGACGCTATCGAAAACGGTCTAGAATAGCCCCTGGTGTGTATATATATATATATATATATATATATATATATATATATATATATATATATATATATATATATATATATATATATATATATATATAACTTGTTTAATATTATCATTCTCTAAAAGTTTATTATCATGAATAAAAATTAAAAGGAAATTTAACGTTACCGCTGTAAACTGTTATTTTTGTCCTTTTACTAGTTTTACCCATAACCGAGTCAACTTCAAAGAGATATGTTTTAGTATGCCAATTATCAGCCTTAATAATAACCAGTTTTTCTTGGAATACATAAATCATTTGATTCGTAAGATCACTAGTTTGAATTAAGTTAACTGTCTCTTTTGCTTCAAAAGTTTCTTCATTAATCCAACTCCAGGAGTATTTAAGTGTATCCCAGCCATTAAATTTTATGCCGTTAATTTTTATCATAGGAACAATTTCACGGTATTCACCTTTACAAATTCCTATATTACTGTCTAAAATAATGACTGGTTTGGATATGTGCTGAACATTATATGTTTGCTCAAAGTAAGACTTTTCATTATTAGCATAATAAGCTTCTCCATAAATTTTGACTCGAGGGTATACAGAATAACTTTTTACAGGAAACATATAAAGGAAAGTTAAAAAATGACCAGTTCCTTGTGGTGTTGAACCATAAGGTGTAAAAAGTGACACACAAGCTTCATTCAATTTAAATGGATAATAGCCAGTTAAAGAATATGCTTCCCCTGTATTACAATCTAAATACTGTACAATTGGATATATAGCTTGATTAATATTTGCCACTTGATCTGGATTTGTATAAAATTCAGTTTCATAAAAATTGCTTCTTGTTCGAAACGCACCAGTTGAGTCTTGATAATCTTCAACAAATAATGAAGTTTCATATTTTAAAACACCATTGACATCCACTTTCAAGTTAATTTTTTTCCAGAGGCTCATTTTAACTAATTTAAAGAATTCTCTAGTGTACTTTGGATTATAATTAGCATCATTATAAGAACTACAATTTTTTTCACAAAGCATCATATACTGACGATAACTCCTAAAAATTTAGAGTATTGAAAAACTAAAATAATTTAATTAACATTCCATAGGTAATGATGACAAAACATGTTTATTTAAAAAGTATTTTATTTTAAATGTTAAAATACAATAAGAAAACAACAATAAAACAAAATGATAACACTGTCTTAAATTAATATAAACTTTTATGTTAACCCCTTTCTACATAGCATATCATATATGATACAATTTAAATTTAAGGATAGTATGGTTACGTTCATTATGATTTCAAAATATATTTTAATAAGATATATTATTTCTTTTAAGTTATTGTTTTAAACTTTATTTCACAACTATTTTAAACATTAATAATTTTATAACCACTCATAAATTAAAAAGATAAATAAAAAGATAATAAAATTAAAAAAATAATCATATACTTACTCTTCAGTTATATTAACACATTTATATACACCATTTTTAAGTGTTGCCATTACATTGGTTTGTTTACCTGCTAATAAACGATTTCCATCATAAAAAAATGAACGATGTCCATCTTGAATGGCTTTATTAAAACAACGCAATGGGTCTTCATTTATTCCATAGTATTGTTTAATATTTTCAAATGGATGAAAGTATTTATGTTGAAATGGACAGTAATACTGATACTCAGAATAAATTAATAGCGGATGCACTAAAACCATGGAAACATAAAAATTAAAAAAAAAAAAAAAACGCCCAATACTTAAATTAATGCAATAAAAAATAAAAAATAAAATTATAGAAATAATTATTAATTTTTTTTTAATAGGAAAATAATGAAAAAATGTTTGTTTTTCAAAAAAAATAAAAAAAATAAAACCAAGATATCAAATGAATACAAAAACTCAATATAAAGTGTAAAAAGTGATGAAATGGAAATGATGATGGAAAAAAAAGCTTTAAAATTTGTTTTATGTTTTATTTCTATTATTTTTATAAAGTAGAATCATTGAAATAAAAATAATAACTGTGCCTTAAACATAATAACTATTTTTGCTTTAAAATAACTGGTGAAGATAAAACATAAAGCAAAAGTACATAAAAACCATAACACTAAATTAAAAAAAAAAAAAAAACTAAAGTAGTATTTGAAAATAAACAACACAAAATATAGTTTATCTTGTTTTTTTAATCCACAGTTAACAATATTTGAAAACTTTAATAATATTTGAAAATAATAAATATAAGAATCCATATTGCATTTTGGAATCGCATATTAAATACAAAAGGTAAAATTATGGTTCATTTTCAGACATTCTTATTTTTATAGATATTTTTGAATGTAAATATGAGTGTACCTAAATCAGCAATATGAAGTGATACAAATGCTTGCTGAATGGAATCTGTATAAAACACAGAGGGATTACCACTAACTAGTGTTCCACCACGATACTCAAAGCCAGGATCCATTGTAACAAATGGAACAAGAGAAGGTCTTTCTATTTCACTGATAATCAGAAACTCCCTTATTATTGTATAACTTTTAGCATTAGGGATAGTTACAAAGCATTGAAGTGTTCTTTTATAAAAATTCTTTTCCAATGAAAGATTTATTGTATTCAATGGGTTGTTAAGATTAATTTTTGTATTATAGATGATCTCCCACCATTCATATTGATTTTGTATTGGATATATTATTTCAGACTTGTTCAAGCATGAAAGATTTATATTTGTTTGTGTATCTGATACATCTATTAATTTTAGTTGGTAGTCCTTGTCATTTTTTGCATTTCTAGTATAAATGTTTTTCTTTAGAAATGGTTGACCATTTGAATCAAAGCTATCTAAAATAAAAAATAAAAATAAAAAACTGATTAGAAACAATTTAATGGAATATAATAGTAAGAAAAAAGCTCATGCTAAATTAATTCTGTTTTATAAACCTAATAGCATAAATTTAAAACCAATTGTGTTTGATATTGCAAACACAACTTTAACATACATTAACAAAACATATTTAAATCTTAAATAAATCAAGAAATAAAACTTTATTTTTAATTTATTCTTCATCAACAACTGTGCACACACATGACTTTCTTAAAGCCAAAAATATATTTTCACAGTCAATTTACATACACTAAATAATTTTTTTTTAAAATCATTATTACAACTCTTTCTTAATCCTTTAATTTTGAGTCGCTGTACAGAGAAACGTGCAGTAATACCACAGGGTTAATGGGGATTTAACTCAGAGCTCCCTACCACAACACCACTTCCACAACTCCACTACCACAACACCTGCAGTTAGAAATAAACATAGATTAGTAATTATGTTATGTTCAAATCAAGTGACAAAAATATTGATTTCCAATACCTCAAACTTTTGAAATTGAGTATAGTATTAAGGATTAATCTAGGCTCTTTTAGACATCATATGTAATGTAATCTATCAAAATATGCTAGATTTGGGAGCTCACATATGATAGATTAATGAGTTTTTACTGCAAATTACAAAAGCAGAACAAATAATTATACATAAAATTTGCTACATGCTGCTTTTGTATAACTGTCTTCATATAGTAATAATAGTAATATATGTTTCTACATAAATAATATTTCACAGAGTATTTATAAATATAAATTTATATAAACTAACTGTGCAGTAACTACTAACAATAGATAGTGCGCTATAGCAGCCAAAGTAAAACCTTAAATTTACAGACTGATTTTGATGTTTTAATATCATTTGGAAGATTGTTCCGCTCCTTAACAATTCTGTTTTTAAAAAAACGTCTGAGTTTTTGACAATCTCTCACACAAAATTTCTTCTAACATTTCCTTTTAAGGCGAGTTCCACTCTACTATTTCTAAATGATTTTCTAGCTTAAACATTTGATTAAGATTTCCACAATTTCTTCTTATTTCAGGCATTGTCTATTCATTCGCTCTTTATACAAAAGATTTTTCATACAACGTGCAACTATCGTAGCTCTTCCCTTAACTTGTTTAATTTAAAAGATATCTCCTTCTAGATATGGCATAGCAAATTTTAGATGCGGGCAGATATAAATGGTATATAGCTTTTTCCATATGTGCTTGTTTCTTGATTGAAATATATGCTAAGTACACTATTTGTTTTTGCTACTACGCAATTTACATGTGCATGGGTTTTTAGGTCTTTGGATATAACAACTCCTAAATCTCTTGTTGTTTTGGTTAACTTTGAAAATAAACCCATTAGCATTTGTGATATTCATGATGTGGGTTATTTTCACAACGTTTTTCTAAACTTGATTTCTTGTGTGTTTGTCTGTCTGGTTAGAATCTTGAAGCTATATTTAACCCACTTTCTAACTAGCTAGACCTCTGAAATTTTCATGATAGCTCAGAACCCGATCACAATGCATTTTAAAACCATTTTCAAGCTTCGGCAGTCAATATTTCTCTCAATTTCAACAAAATAAAATTTTATATGCAGAAAAAATAAATTGTGACTTTAGTGAGCACTTAAAGAAAAAAACAGTTTTTAAAAATCTTCTTTGTTAATTATTTTTAAAGAATGCATTCAATACTTTTGCAATTCTTTTGTTACATATCTCTAACTAATTATATAAAATAATTTGTAATGAGCAAAAAATATTTCAAATAATTCAGCACGCGTATTGCACAAAAATTTAGTAGACAAATAATTAATAAATAGTGTTAAAATAAAATAAGTAATAAATAATAATAAGTGTTAAAAATATTATTGCAATAACCAAACAAATCTAAAAAGTAAAAAAATAATCTACAATAAAAAATGAATTTTTCTAAAAACAACATTTTTCAAGCTAACTAAAAATTAGAAAATAATTTTTCTTTAAGCTCGTCAAAATGTCTGATTATATTCCTTTTAGAATGATGACAGATTTTATAATAAATTTGATACATGTAAAATGAAAAACATTGGGCGCATGTTATAAGATAAAAGATTGGTGATCGACCAACACTTAATGGTGTCGTTAATCATATATCAGTGCAATATATCTACACTGATCATTAAAATGGCCAACTATATTTAAATTATAATAGATACACTTAAACACATCACACAAACAAAGAATTAAATCAAATGTTATACTGCAAAATGTCATAATATTATCAAATCACCATTTGCACCCAACATTTTTTTGTTTTACGTGTATGGAATTTCTTATAAAACTTGTCATCATTATAACAGGAATATAATCAGATATTCTGACAAGCTCAAAGAAAAATTATTTTCTACTTTAAGTTTGCTTGAAAAACGTTGTTTTTAGAAAAATTCATTTTTTATTGTAGATTATTTTTACTTTTATGTATAACCATGCATTTATCGATATTTAATTCCATAAGCCATATGTTGTACCAAGTTGAAATTTTGTTAATACTATCCTGAAGTTCTAGCAAATCCTTTAAATGTGTGTTTGGTTTTATAGACTTTATTAACTTAATATCATCAGCATAAATAAAACATCTAACTTTGAGTTCTCTTGGTAAGTTGTTTATGTATAATACAAATAGCAGTGGTTAAAGATGCAGTGGTTAGAGTGCATGCTTTATAAGCAGTAGATCCAGGCTCGAAATGAGCTTTGGACATATTTTTGTGTCACGGTAAGGAGGGAGGCGTGAACTTACTGGTTAAATGCACTTCCTCAGTGCTCTGTGACAAGACCGTTAGGTCTTCTTGGAGCACCTAAATAATAAAAAAAAAGAGTCGATCCGAGAACAGATCCCTGTGGTTTACCACTTGTTACATTCACCTAATCCTACAATCATGAGCCATAACTACTCTTTGCCTCCTATTCGTTAGAAATATTTTATATAATATGCATTATTAATTAAAAAAGTGTACTTTATATATTTTGTCTTCCACTTAAGTTTAGGTTGAAGTTTAACTTGATTAAGCTATCCTTCCAGTAAATTACATATATGCAAAAAGTCTTAATAATATAAAATTTAACAACTATATAAAAAAAATAAAAATTAAATACAATTGTAAAAACTTATTTTCTATTCTTTAGTGAGTTTATTTTTTGTTGAATATCAGATTATATTATTTGTTAATAGTTATAATGTAAGATGTAGAGTTGTAATATGTAAAGATGTAAATTTTTCAAACTATTCCATCTTGATTATTAAAATGCCGAGATTCTTGTACCACTTTATATACACTGTAAATGCACCATTATAAACACCCATATACAGAGTGTTTAACTAAACAACCTGCAAAATCTACCAAAAAGAAATTATTTTTATCATGTTTTCAAATTGGTTGACATAGCTTGCTAAATACTTTTGCATCACCATGATAACAACTATTATGCCTAACTTGATGTATGTAAATATAAATAATACAAATAAACAGAAAAACAACAATACAAAGAAAAATAAGAAGTTGCAAACTTTACTATATATTACTTTGTTACAAATTTTATTTTATAGAGCAGTTTTTAGAAAAAAAAAAAAAAAAAAATATATATATATATATATATATATATATATATACATATATATATATGTATATATATATAGCAGCGGCCTTGTTCGTCAAGGTTCGTGTTTCGGAGTTATAGAGTTGAGAGAGGGTTATAGCCGCAAATAAGTAGCCTCCTCGTCTGTAGTGGCCTTCTCGGCCTTGAGGAGGTGAATTAAATATATAAAAAAAATATATATATATATATATATATAAAAGATAAAAAAAAAATACATATATATTTTTTTCTTTATTTATTTTTTATCTTATATAGTAGAAACAACTGAATTTTATTCATTACTGAATATGTACATATATATATATATATATATATATATATATATATATATATATATATATATATATATATATATATATATATATATATATATATATATATATATATACATATATATATATATATATATATATATATATATATATATATATATATATATATATATATATATATATATATATATATATATATATATATATATATATATATATATATATATATATATATATATATATATATATATATATATATATAATAACAAATAGTAATTTGTCCAATAACAAGTAAAAATTTTAAAATACCAATTGTTTAATAACAGTAAATAAATGATGGTTTCAGAAACAGTAAGTAAATGATGGTTTATTAACATTATGTAATTAATAACAGTATGGTCTAATATGATGGTCTAATAATATTGAGAAAATAAATGTTTAATAACAGAGAGTAAATATTGTTATTAATTACATAATGTTAATAAACCATCATTTACTTATTGTTTATGAAACCATCATTTATTTACTGTTATTAAGGGGCAATTCTAGGAAAATAATTTGGGCAGCGGTACCCCAATATCAACGCCTTTTCATAAGGAAATTTGCAGTATGTAGTCATTTTTATCGGGAAAAAAACGATATTTGCCATAAAAATAAAAAAATTAAAAAAAGCGTCAAAATACGGTCCGCACTGTGTTATGTTTTTATCATTATTATATACTTTCTTATTTGATTTAGGTCTGCATTTGTATCCATTAGGAAGTGCTAGTATATGGTATACTAAAAATTTACTATACAGTTTATTGTATAGTATTCAGTACACTGTAAACAAAATTTTTTTGGTGAAACCAAAACACAAAATTGTAAAAAAGTTTAAACGGTTTACGTAAAACAAATGTGTTTTCTATTTAATGTTTTTTTCATTGTGTTTTCTTATACTATTAACTGGTTACACATAACTAGTTAAAGTCTTTCAAAATCAGCAACCACTTGATAATAAATTGTTATCTTACTACATTAAAAAACCAATTAAAAATAAAAACACTTTAACCATGATAATTCATACAATAAAAATGATATATTAATTTAATTAATTATAATAATATAATAATAAGTTAATAAATTATCAAATGAGTCCAAAAAAAAAAAACTGAAAAAAAAAAGTAAACAAGTATACTAACTTTTAGTATACAAGTAAACGGTAAAGTATACTGTAAAGTTAGTAAACCGTGTACTGTAACTGGTGATCCCTAGTATCCATACATTCATACATACATACATATATATATACAAACATATATATGTATATATATATATATATATATATATATATATATATATATATATATATATATATATATATACATATATATACATACATACATACATACATACATATGTATATTTTATGATAATTAATAACTTGTATCTATTAATATATATCCATGTATTAATACATACTACATTTATATATACATTGATACATACATACATATGTATGTATGTTTTAATATATATACATACATACCTATGTATGTTTTGTGATAATTAATAACAATATTTTATTAATTTATTTATAGGTAATTTTAATAAACACATACATTTTGAACATCCATAAATTTCTACTCGAAAACAAAAATTGAGATTATCAACAGCATTAATAAATATAAATTTTATATGTTGAGCCTCAATCCTTGGATTGAGTTTTTGTCTTTGAGAACCATCTTTAAACATGTTCATGTACCACTGTAACAAAAAAGATTTAGAATTTAAATTTAGTTTATAAAGCAATACATAAATAGTAAAAACTCTACTCACAACATTATGACCAGAACTAGCTTTTATATATCGCCACATACTTTCTTTAGTAGCATACATAACTTGGTAAGTTGAAACAAGACAATTTGCAGCAGCAAAAACTCCTTGAGAAGACCATCCATCAATAACACTTAAATACACTAGCTTTATGCCTATAAAGATAATTCATTTAACAAAATCAATTTTTTAAATTGCTAAAATCACAACATTGCTGATGCTTACCTTACTTGCTAAAGAACGATTGAGCCATATTAAGAAGATTAAGTAACCATGAATAATAAATTACATTAAAAAAAATTTACTTAGCCATGGACGATCACTAAGCCAATCTCTAAGACATCTAAAAGAAGTATAGTCATTTAATTTTTGAGAAAATCTTGCATTATCAGGAGGGTTGTTTGTAGAATTACAGAAACTAGTAATCGATTTTGATTCAATAAAATATTTACTGCCAGAACCTTTTTCCATACCAAGTTTTTCACAACAATCTAAAAAATACTTGCATTAAATATGCTGATTTAAATTCTAAATATTATTTTTTTTGTAACCATTAATTTTTTTTGTTTTGTTTACTTATTTTATAAAAGCAAAATAAGTAAATAAAAAATTAGTTGTATATATATATATATATATATATATATATATATATATATATATATATATATATATATATATATATATATATATATATATATATATTATATATATATATATATATATATATATATATATATATATATATATATATATATATATATATATATATATATATATATATATATATATATATATATACATATATATATACATATACATAAATACAGGAGATTTGTTAACAAACTAAATACTTTCTTAAAATAGTCATTCAATATTTTAATATTAATTATATATATATATATATATATATATATATATATATATATATAACTAATATTAAAATACTATATATAACACTAAAAATAACGTATATATACAGTAGGTTTGTTAACAAAATAAATACTTTAACTATTCAATATTTTAATATTAATTATATATATATGTATATATATTAGGGTGACCCAAAATATGCACCAAAAAAAAAAAAAAATTTAGCTAAGGTGTCCTATGGATTTTGCTACCTAGTATGAGTTCACAGGCAAAATTTTAAGTATGGTGGATGCTTGTAACAGCTACAAGTAAAAATCCATTTTTACAGGGAATTAGCATTTTTATTTTATAGAATTTCAGCAGAACAGAGGAAAAAGTAGATTAATGCTGATATACAATAAAATACTTTTGTTTATTTTTATTCATATTATTTTATTCATATTTATATTAACAATGCCCACCAACTCCTCTGCCTCTTTATCCTTACTCTAAATCTTAGGACCCCACCACCCCATTGTTACTACTGTCTGCCATTAAGTTCTTATTATATTATTACTCAATTTGTTTAAAAGCACAATTTGTTAATTTTTATATTTAACTTAATAAATGTTTAAATCAATTCTTTGTTCAAACATTTGAATATTTCAGAAAAATGGGAAAAGCTAAAGCTAAAAATGGAGCTGTAAAGCCAATTAATTACAACCCAAGAAGACCTGTCTATCTTCTTGAAACTCCACTGAGCTCTCTACCTAGCAGGCAATTGCCTACTAATGGTCATGTTATTATATATTTTCTGTATGTTATTTTCCCCAGGGCTAAAAGATTTAGACCAATCAAGACTAACTTTGCTTGTGCACAAAAGACATCTTCTGGAGATATGAGTGCAAAGGAACTGATAGACCTAGCAACGCTGTGACTGGAGAATACTGTTTGTTCCAGAGTATTGTAAATATTTGGGCTTCTTGTGGTTTTCAGAACTATGTTCTTTCAAAAGTTGCATACTAAACAAGTTTCTAGTAATTTACAAGCAATATAAAGCTGTTTGTAATGAAAAAACACTTAAAATGAAACCAAATGCATCTCAAAAGCAGCAAGAAAAATTCCTGATAATGACAGATAAAATGTTTGACATCAGTTCTCAACAGTTTGAGTACATCATGCATCAGGATACTTCTAGGCCAAGAGACAGTGCTACAGTGCAGGACTATATAAGTGAAGTAGATGAACCACCTTTTGAAAAATGTAAAAGAAAATCAGTTTAGGTATAATGTTTTGTAGTATCTTTTCATTATTTCCTAGTCATTTCTCTCTCTCCTCCCCATCCTTTTTAATACCATGTCATGCAAGAGATAAAAAATTTTGATTTCTTCATTCTAAAAAACTTCTTTGATAGGTCCTCCCCAGCTGTACCCTGATAGAGAAGATTGTCACCCTGACTTAAGTAACAAACTAACTTTGGCTGATAAGCCTGATAGACCTAAATCAAGACACAGATCTGGTCCCTCAGCCTTAGCAGTAAACAAAGAGATCACAAAGGAGGGTTTGATTGCAGCAACCACACCAACATGTATGAGAGCTGGTATCAGTATAAGAGATCAAACTCTATTTATCTCTAGCATTGTAAAATATCTTGAAGGAGATATCACAGAGTTAAAGATAAGCAGAGAGTCGATTAGAAGAGGCAGATACAAACTATCCATTCTGAAGGTAACAAATTATACTGTTTCAACATTTTAGCTTTTAGATTGTAACAATATAAGAATCTGTTTTATATTGCTGATTGATAAAGTTAAATTTAAAGATAAAAATCTGTTTAGGTTGTAAAATCCGTAATGAGTATATGGAAACAATGAAGAACAAACCATTAGTGCTACACTTTGATGGAAAAATTGTAAAGCACATAGAAGAAGAATCAAAGAAAAGAGTTCTTATTGATAGACTAGCAGTATCAGTTACAAGTCCTGAGTTTTCGTCAAACAATGATTTACTTCTTGGAGTTGTTCCTGTGGACAATGGAAAAGCCAATGATACGGCTATTGTACTCCAGAATCTGGTAGAATATTTCAAAATATCAGAGAACATCATTGCTGTGTGTACTGACACAACAGTTATAAATATAGGAAAAAAAATCAGGAGCAATTGAAACTTTAGTCAGAGTTTTGGGACAATCAGTTCTCTGGCTCTTATGTCAGCACCATATTGCAGAGATCCATATAAAATGGGGCATCAAAGCTATTTTTAAAGAACAAACTGTGGGACCATCTAAACAGATGTATAAAGATTTAAAGCACGCTTGGATGAGCAGGAGCTGAAAAAAAATTCAAGAAGTTTCTCGAAAGTGAGCTGGTTGTTGGAAGTGATCTTTACAGTTTATATCTCAAGTCTAAAAAATTCATTGCTTATTCGCTTGAGTATAATGTTTTTCCTAGAAATGATTATAATCACTTGGTAAAATACCTTGCATTCTACCAATTCACCTAAGCTTAAAAAGTTTAGTTTGTACCAACCAGGTGCTAACCATAATGCCAGATTCATGTGTGACAGCATCTACTTGGGGCTTCTGGATATTACGTCTTCTATTATTAACTTCCTGAGTGATGATCAGAAGACTTTAGTCTGTAAGGCTAACTTTATTATTGCCTTAGAGACTAAAGTACTTTGCTCCTTCATTTCTCAAATCCAGCAAAGCTGAACATGCAGTAGTAAATGACCTTGAGGCATACAAAGCTGCTGCAATCATCCAAAAGGATTGTGATTATGATGTTGGTAGTGCTTTATTAAAAAGCCTTTAAAACCATACTTGGTATCTTTCTCTAAAGTGTGTTACTATGGTGTTGGCTGATCCTGATCTCGACAGGTCTACCAAAATGGCTGTCATAGGAAAGCTACTAACATTCCCTGTACCTAAAAAGAAAGATTTAAGCTTAGAGGCTCCAGGGAGGGTATCCATCTCAGAGTCTACAAAATTAGAAGACTTAATTACAGAGGAAAGTTGGCTTTTGTTTATTATTACTGACACCACTAGTGTTGTCAGGGAGTGGTATCAGACTGAGGGAGTCTTGGAGGAACTTGCATCTCATAAAGACTTTTGTAGCTTTGTATGTGGGTTAAGTGTCACTAATGATTGTGCAGAAAGAAACATTGGTCGTGCGATCGCACTCTGTAACTGACCGCACTAATAATTTTTTTTCTTTACAATTTAACCATGGCTGTTCTAATGTTTTACCAATTTAATGCAATAAAAAAAATTGTTAAGCTATGAATAACAATTAACCGTTGATCTTTTCAAATGTTTTTATTTTATGCGAAGGCTTTAGTTAAATAAAAAACTAATTATAATGATCGTTAAAAATAAATGCATTTTGTGTAAACTATATATGTAAATTTTCTTTGGTAGGCATGTAATTTTTTATGATAAATTCAAACATTTAAAACTACTTTTTTATGCCTTTCTAAAAATCTTTCATAAGATTACTTTTTTTAAATACTTTAAACTATGAACAAGTTTAATTAAAAACTTCCTGTTGCAATCGAATTATTTAATTGTTTTATTTTTTTTTCTTTCTATTTTTATGAAGAATTGTTTAAAAACTTTTTTTTTTGACTTTTTTTTTTTTTTTTTATTTTAATTCACCTCCTCAAGGCCGAGAAGGCCACTACAGACAAGGAGGCTACTTATTCGTGGCTATAACCCTCTCTCAACTCTATAACTCCGAAACACGAACCTTGACGAACAAGGCCGCTGCGCGGAGAAACGAGTTGACTTGGCTTACATTAGTAAGTTAAGTCAAAAAAAAAAGTATTACGCTAAGCTAATCTGTTTAGATAGAAAGTATTAAGCTAAGCTAAACTGTTTAGCTTAGCGTTTCATTTTTCAGTGCATTTCTAAAATGTTTAAATCATCAAAACAGTTTGGTCAAGTTGTCAATAACAAAAAAATCATTTATGTGGTCAGTATTAGTGTTTGATTGCAAGCCATTCCTGTCCAAGCCTTATATATATATATATATATATATATATATATATATATATATATATATATATATATATATATATATATATATATATATATATATATATATACATATATATATATACATATATATATATACATATATATATATACATATATATATATACATATATATATATATATATATATATATATATATATATATATATATATATATATATATATATATATATATATATATATATATATATATATATATATATATATACCCATATAGTGTAGTCGAAAGAGCGTTTTAATGTAAAAAAAGTCTCTTACGACTACAATTTTAATTACCTCGTCTCTTAAGCTGTTTTTGATTGTCATCGAAATGTCAAAGCAATTAATTTATGCGGAAGTACATTAAATTTAATTGTTTTTTAAAAAATTTTTAAAAAACCGCAATTATAACGACTAGAAAGTTTTTTTTAATTAGTGGTGTTTTTGTTATTGATTTAATAAAAAGCATTTTTAAAACATGCGTAAATGTTGCTACATCGACTATCTTATAGCCTGACTCGCAACAGAGTGCTGCTACATCGACTGACAAATAGCCTGACTTGCAACGGAGTGCTGCTACATCGACTGACAAATAGCCTGACTCGCAACGGAGTGCTGCTACATCGACTGACAAATAGCCTGACTTGCAAGGGAATGCTGCTACATCGACTGACAAATAGCCTGACTCGCAAGGGAGTGCTGCTACAACGACTGACAAATAGCCTGACTCGCAAGAGAGTGCTGCTACATCGACTGAGGGTTTGGTTTGGCCAGGCAGTCTATCAATTAAAAAAAAAAATTTAATTTTTAAAACTTTTTCTGGTCTGGTTTATTAACGTGCTCTTTAAAATTACAGTTTATGGGAAACTTTTTTTGATGCCATGCAAGAGACATGCAAGAGTATATATATACATATATATATATATATACATATATATATATATATATATATATATATATATATATATATATATATATATATATATATATATATATATATATACATATATATATATATATATATATATATATATATATATATATATATATATATATATATATATATATATATATATATATATATATATATATATACATATATATATATACATATATATATATATATATATATATATATATATATATATATATATATATATATATATATATATATATATATATATATATATATATATATATAGATGAATTTCAAATGTTTACATTCTTGTTTTCAAAAAAAGATGCGAGCGCAAACTTGTAGGTAGAAAAACAAATAATCTGAAACTTTTTAGTAAAAACATTGAGACATTTATGTTAAATTTATTCACTGATTCTTATTTATTCACTGATTCACTAATTTAACTAGAAATAAATTATGCTAACCAGTTGTTGTGTAGTTGGTTGTTCAAACAAATTTAAAAAAGATTGTGGATTCAAATTTTTTAAATTTCCATCAGGAAAATCGCATGTTGAGAAAAGAAGACGTATAGACTGGATTAAAGCTATTAATTGTAAGGATTGGGACAGTTAGGAAAGTGAAAAAATTAGTAAAGAACAAGTATGCAGTGCACATTTTGTATCAGGTATATTCTTTTAATGAACGAGGTTAGCTAATAAAACTATATACATAGTAATACGTTTAATAAGACTCTTTAATTTAGTAATTTATAATATTTGGTACATTTATTAATTTAATTACATAACCCCAATTGTATAAAGAACTTATTATATTTTAGGGAAATGTTCTGATGACCCATCTGACGTTGACTGGATTGACCCATCTGACGTTGACTGGATGGATGTCCATCTGTATTTAATCACCTTGGAGCTGCTCTGATTTCTAGTTTGATTAAAAGAGAAAAGATTGCTATAAAGTTTTATGTAAAAAATGATCTTTTAAAAAATCAATACTGCCATCTAGCCAATCAAATGATATAGAGCTCGATAAATATAAAGATAATGTAAATATTGACATAAATCCACCAAATGACAAGTCAGCCATTTCTAAATTTTGTCAGCATGATACTTATAAAGCAGAAGTTGAAGCTCTTAACTTTCAGTTAATGCAATACAGAAATGAATTGATCGAGAAATCTAATGAAATTATTGAACTCAAAAAAAAGAATGCCAGACTAGACCATAATAAATACATCTAGACAGATATCTAATGTTCGCATACATGTAGAAAGAGTGATTGGTCGAATAAAAATACTTCGCATTGTTCATATGACTGTGCCTCTCAAGCGGATTTATTAGATGATGTTATGATTATTATTTGTGCTCTTGTAAATCTCAATATGAGTGTAGTTACTTGATTAATGTAAATGTAAAAACAAATTTACAGAGAAGCAATTTTTATAGTTTCAAAATATAAATACATAATAAAGGAAAGTAATATTTGTTTTGGTTTATTGCTTGAATTACATTCTTTGCATAACCAATTTGTAGTTTTTGGAGCTCTTTTCAGTCCAACAGAAGCGTAATAAAACCATTCATATTTGAAGTTATTAAAATTGCATGGTATCATTTTTCCAAAACTTGATCACTGGCATATACAGTAAACTTTTCTACTATTTATTGTCGATTTATCATTATGACGTGTTACAAGCTCTGGCAATAAAAATGTTTTTGAAATACATAAAAAATTTTCAATTCAATTATTTGAGAATAAGATCTGTATCTTTTTCAATTGTTAAAATAAAACTTTGTTCACCTTTAACTGCAGGGGAAAATAAAAACAAATCAGCCTCAGAACAGAGACATACATGTAGTTGTAATTGAATTAGGTAGTAATAATTGTGATCCTTTTTTATAATGAGATCTTTATTGATTGGAAAATCCTTATCTTCTTACCATCCTTCAAAGCCATTTTGATATTAATAAGGACATTTGATTTTTTTAAAATTTTAGTTTGATGACAACTGCGTCTAATCAATGCATCTGGAGAAGCTCCAATGAAGGCCTATTGTTCTCTCACATGAAAACCAGTATCTAAAAATTTGAAATTTATATGACTATATTTTACTTGTTCAATATAATATTTTCGTGCAACATGTTCCGTTTCTGTTCCATATTGTGTGTACTTATTAACAGAATTTTTTGCATAATGCATAATTTTTTTGACCAATGATTCACTTGACATATAATTTGTATTAGAATGATATACTTCTTTTGCATTTGAAGCTGTTCATTGAATCCTGTTTGGATGACGCCCTGCACAGTGCATCATCCAAACAGGATTCAATGATTGTGTTTTTGTTTGGTTGCATAAGTTATTATACTGTCTTTGATTATTATCATTTTTATAATTGTTATATATACTTGCAAAAAATGATCAACTTATCCTCAGATAAATTTATACTTGTTGGATCATATATCTATGTGAGAGTTTAAGGAAGTGTTGTCTCTTTTGTCTCCGATGAAGTTTCAATATTATAATTTATACTAGAGTTTCAGTTGCACTAGAGTCAGATGAAGTCTCCGATGAAGTTTCAGTAGCACTAGAGTCAGATGAAGTCTCCGATGAAGTTTCAGTAGCACTAGAGTCAGATGAAGTCTCCGATGAAGTTTCAGTAGCACTAGAGTCAGATGAAGTCTCCGATGAAGTTTCAGTAGCACTAGAGTCATATTCAACAGATGAAGTTTCAGTAGCACTAGAGTCATATTCAACAGATGAAGTTTCAGTAGCACTAGAGTCATATTCAACAGATGAAGTTTCAGTAGCACTAGAGTCATATTCAACAGACATAAATTCTGTAAGATTAATACTCGTAAAAATTTTTTAAAAAAGTTTTTCCATCTCTTTAGCTGTTAAGCGGTGCTCACCATCCATTGGATTATTGTTGGAAAAGTGTTTTTTTAAAGGTAGCTTTACAGCCAAAACTTTTTATAAAAAATTTTTTTGAGGTCGGCAAAAATTATGAGCTGCAATGGAGCAGGTTGAACAGATTTTTTGCATTTTTTCCTAGTACACAAGATACTTGTAGGAGAAGTTTTGTGTAATTTTTAACGTGAAGCTGCTTCTAATTTAAATAATAATGCTACTACATGGCTACAAGCTGATCCTAGTCAGGCCATACATGAACAATTAGCATTTAGTACCCAACCAAGTTCTTTCTCAAGACAAGTCCATACATCATACATGTTTTTGTTGTTTTGACTTTGACTTGGCAAGACCTATTACAAAAAGATTATTTCTATATAAAAATTATTATTTATTCGCCTTTGGTAAAAATTTATTTTTTAATTATATTTTAAAAATAACCTTTGATTTTATAAAACAGAATTTGCTCCTATTTGATATTTTATTATAAAAACATTCTTGAACATGCCCCCATGTGAAGTAATTATAGGCTCTAATTGATTCCTTCGTTCCTAGGTGTATCGATTAAATATTGAGTAACATCTTGCCATGTAATGTTTGGCAAATGATTGAGATCGTTGCTCCATTCTTTTGGTTCGATTATAAACGGATCCGGTAAAACATCCCCATTTTTAAGAGTTAACTTATTTGCATAGTCTATTGCTTCTTGTAATTTTAGACTTTTAAAATATTCACTCATGATATTGTTAACTATTTTGAAAAATTAGGTGTTATTGTTGACTTCCAAAAACAGAATAAAATTATAAGAGTAGAAAAATCGCAAGAGCAACAGCTATTTTTAAACTCAAAATGAGTTTATAATTTGTACAAGAACATCTGTTTTAAAAATTTTTTAAACAAAAGTTTTTAATAACAATGAAAACTTTTATCACCAAAATTTATATGAAAAATTTGTAATTAATTTTAATTATTATTCTTTTAATAATTTTTTAAAGAAAAAAATTAATTTTAGGGTACAAATTTTGATTTTAGGGTATAAAAAAAATACAAGAAACACATTAAAGTTCTTGCGTTTTAATTTTTTCTACCTACAAGTATGCGCACGCATGTTGTTTACAAAATGACGTGACGTCGCACGGAAACTCATTTCTCTCTCTCTCTCTCTCTCTCTCTCTCTATATATATATATATATATATATATATATATATATATATATATATATATATATATATATATATATATATATATATATATATATATATATATATATATATATATAAAGATAAATAAATTAAAATATGTTGAGGTTATATGTAAAGAACTATTAAACTGAATTTCAAAACTGTAAACTGTAACTCTCATTACAGATAACAGAAAGAGCTGCATAGTCACTTTTAAAGTGTCAAGAAGATTCAGGGCTGATCCAGAGTTCATCCAGGACTCATCATTCTAGGCATGAAACATTTTAAGACACTAACCCTGATCTGATTTTAAATCAATAAACTATGATGCATCTAATTCATACCAATTACTTATTTACACGTTTAAATAAACAATAACCTTAAAAAATCTTTTGTTTGCTGTTTTATAAAAAAACTTTAAAGGCAGGAGTAGTAAAGAGTTTAACCACTTCCTTGGAAAGTAAAGAGTTTGACCACTTCCTTGAAATAACCTTGTTCATGATTTGTGTTTAAAGTAATATGATTAATAAGTCAAGTTTTTTTTGTTAAAAATTTTATTAAATAAAAATAACTGATTGCATAAGTAATACAAAAAAATGTTTAAAACTCATACCACAAATGCAACTGTCTTTTACAAGATTGAAGTAATCAAACATAAGATAACCATCAGCACTATTATCTATTAAATGTAGATTAAATAAAGAACCAAGAAGAGTTTCATTAATATTCAGTGTCATTTCTTTCATATAAGGAGTACTGAGAGAAAGATAAAAGCTCGCAACAATCGAATTATATCTTCTTATTTCCACACCGATTTGACCTGTCTGATATTCTCCTCCAATTAGGAAAGTAACTATTGGTACATCAATGACAAAAGCAGGAGATATAAGAGAACCGACATCTGTCAAACTTCCAACACCCGTTGCGGCTCCAAAGAATGGATTATTTTCATAGCTTGATATCCACCATTTTCCATGGAACCCAGTAGGAAACTTCATATCTGTTCTTAAAAATTTCGGATCTCCAAAAGTTGGTTGGTTTTTAAATGCTTTTCCTACTTTTATCCAATTATTTAGATTTCCATCTTCAAAATCGTAAACTACACAGACATTTAAAGTTTCAGTTGGCAAACCATTTAATGTCTAAAAACAACACTGTTTAAAAAAAAAACTCTTCAAATGTGATCATTTGAAGAGTTTTTTTCAATTATTTTCCATTAACTTATTTCTTAGTTACTTTTTATTAATAAAAATCAAAAAATAGAAACAACTTTATTGAATAAAATAAACTTTCCTAAAAATGAACTTCCAAAAAGAAAGTGAAAACTCAAGCAAAAAGTAAAAGAATGCATAAGTATGTGTAAATGCATGAGTGTATGCATAAGTGATTTTAAAAATAAAAACACTAGGAGGGTGAGTTATGAATAGATAGGAACAATAACTGATTGACTGAATCTCAAGCCACAAAAGTAATAATTAAATACAACCTAAGGAAATGATAGAGGTTCAAGACAAACTGTTAAAGCAAGTCAAACAGTGTTCTTATTGTGGATCAAAAAAAAAAAGTCTAAAAAGTGTAAGAAAAAAACAGAATATTAGAAGAGAAAGATCAGATATGTATTCAACAAAACAGAAAAGTATTCAACATGTTTAGAATAAAAAAGTAGTTAAAAGTTATTCATAGAGGTTTTTTTCGTGAATTATAATAAGTGTTAAAAGGAGAGGTTGTTAAGCCATAGAAAAACTTATCTAAGAGGATACAAAAAATGCACAGAAACCTTATTTAGAAGGATAAAAAAGATTAAAAAAGAAAACAATTTATTTGTAGCTAAGAAAAAGATTTAAAAAGTTCATAAATCTGAGCTGATTTTGATGATGATCTTCCTGTGGTTTCACAATAAAAATATTCAGTCATGATTTGCAAAATAAATTAATACCAGAAAGGGTATCCAGTTGTAAAAAAATATTACAACTCTTCCAAAATTTCATATATAAATAATAAATGGTATTATGGGAAACTGTCTAAACAAAGCTTTTTTTGTTTTGCTTTAAAACATGTTTCTGCATCAGTTTTTTTTTACAATGTGGAAAAACATCTTGGCTATAAATGTTTTAACTTGAAACTAATAAAACTTATACTACAAAAATTTGACCTGCCAGAATTATTTTTAAGAGGTCAAAGTATCATTTTTGACAAACCTAATTGAAACTTTAGCAGATACCGATTGTGCTATATATGATATACAGTAACAATCTAAAATAATAACAATGTATAGTAATTTAGAAAGGTGTAAATAGAAAGATTCAATAAATCAATAATAAACAAAAAATAATAAATATGATTACAAATCAAAAATAAAAATAAGTATAGATTTAAAAAAAAAAAAATTATCAAAAATTCTTCATAAAGAATGATCAACAAAACTTATTTAACAACAAACATTTTCTGTTGTACAAAAACATTTGACAAAAAAAGTGTTCGGCTGTACAAAAAACAGTTGCAAAATGAAAAAATAGCAAACTATAACTACAAGCTTTTTTATTGCAACTTCTAAAGAATTAAATGTTTTAATTTTTGTTTTTGTTTTGTAATTTTTTTACAGAGATATAAAGGCTTAAAAACTCAATGAAATTATGTAATTGACAAAAGTACTAGTGGGAAAAAAAATTTGTCAATTATATTAAAGTCAATTATATCAAATGCCGAGACAAGTTATTTTAATCTTAAACCTTTTATATCTTAAATAAACATTAGACAATAAGTTAGGAAATGACTAAACTTACTAAAACAAATTATTTATTAAGATGTTAACAATAAACTATTCTGGTTTTTTTTAATTTGACAATCTTATTTCCATTTCTAAGGCTAACATTAGACTTTCTACTAAGTTTTTTTTGTTATAAAAATATCTGGTTTGTTTAAGAAATGGTGTATTCAACAATTTTTTAAATTATGCACAAGCTTGGTTTTTCCCTTTGTTATTATTTTATACATAACATATTAAAAAAGGAAAAAAACAAACATTAAAATATAATTTAACAACAACACTTATCTGATAATATTAATACGCTAATTTAATAGTGGTAATAGTCGACTTACGTCATTTTCTAGGCTTTTCTATTTTAAAGTAGTTTCTAGACTTTTTTATACGCGTTTTTTTTTTTTTTAATTTTATTTACTAACAACCCGTAATACAGGTTGCTTACTGTTAGTTTTTATCGATATCAATGCTTTAATCAGACCAAATTTCTTTTGAAATAAAAAATCAACAAGTGGGTAGGAGGGGGTTAATGGGGGTAATTACTACCCTCTACCCAGGATTCCAGAAAAATTGACCAATTAACAGTGCTGTAACATGAATTTTAAGTACTGCCGTTAAACATCAATGACCATTTTCAATATGTAATTTGCCTCATATTTTCAAAAGTTATGAGTCACTCAGTCACATGCTTTGGTTAGTGCAATAGAGACAACTTCTAACTATAAGTAAATAAAAGTAAAACAAACATGAATAACAAATGAATTACCTAAAATTTCATACAAAATAAAATAAAGTTGAGCAAGTAAATAGATATTGGGAAGTAGTACATAATTGATTCTAGCAAAACATTGTTTATTTAGCAATGTCATGGGAGCTAAGCATGTCAAATATGTTAACTCTGCAATACTTGTTATATGTTTTCTGTTTCAACAAAGAAAATATGCAACACATCCATAAAATTCATATTTACAAAATCTTTTTCATTATCTTTTATAAAATATCTTTCTAAATTTGAAAATACGTTAAATTCTAATGGTATTCTGATGGTAAAGAATGGTCAATTGATATATAGTAGCTAAAGTACTTAATTGTTAATGTAACTTTGCTTAGACATTAAAAAAAAATTTTTTTTTTTAGATTGCTTCATGAAAGCCATACAGTTAATAAGGCTACTAATTAATTGTTTTTTTAATATAAATTTTTATAGGGTAACAGCATTCTATAGAGCTTTTTTGTGATATTCTAGTTATGTAAAACTAAATCACCTTAATTGCCAAAGATTTTTAATCATTTATTTACACACTTTATCTGTAAAACTCACACTTAAAATTTATTCATTTTTTTGGTTATGCTTTCTTAATTTAAAAAAACTTTTTAAAACTAAAAATGGATACCAATACCACTAATATACAGCATTCTGTGCAACAGATACTAATGCATAATTTTCATAAAATGTGTTGAACTTTTTGTAAAACTGGTTTTGGCCGATTTATTAAATTGTAACAAAATTTTTCACAAAATTTTAAAACCCATAAAAGAAAAGTAATTCTAAAATGAAATTAACTTTAACAAATTTTAAATGCTTCAAGTGTAAGTACCCATTGCACAAAACGTTATTTATCAGCAGTTTGGATATGAGTACATTTAAGTTTTGAAAAAATTTTGTAAATAATTTAATTAGAAAACCTTTACTTAAAAATTTAATTTAAACATTTTTATCGGATAGCTAAATATAAGCAATTATGTTGGGATATTTAATTTCAAATAAGTTTAAAGTATTTTGTTTTTTAAATTCTTTATTTTAAAACACTTAAATACTTTTTTTCAAAGCAAAGCAAGCCAGTGGAAACGCTTTCAAAGTCTATTGAACATGAAATAGATGAAGCTGGACCAAGTACAACAACTACCAGTTACTATCCCTACTACTCAGTTCATGAAAAACAATCAGGAAGTTCAAAGTTATTGCTCAATAACATTTTGAAATTTTTAAATGGCATACATATTCTTAAGAAAAATCAGAAATGTTTTGTAAATACTGTAATTTTTTTTCAAAATTTTGTGAAATCCATAAAACAACATCAATAAATTTTTTGAATAAATTAAATTTAAATTATTAAATAAATATTTGAAAATATATGAAAAGGAAGTTAATTTAGTTGTAAATAACAAAAAAAAATATCAAAAAAAAAAATGTTACAAAATGCAGTCAGCTTTATTAGGATTTCCAAAAACCATACAACTGATATTAGGAATATGTTGAATAGTAATAAATAGAAACACAAACTAGAAAACAAAGATTAGCGCCAAGTATTGAGTTAATAGATTTTCTTGGGTGACAAAATATCCCTTTAAGAGGCAACCAGAACAAAGAAAATTTCTGAGAGTTCCTTTGATTTAGAGTAGCTAGTGAAAATACTGTCTTAAAAAAAATGCTAGTGAAAAAAAAAATGCTGGTGAACGCCACTTATATAAGTGTAACTTAGAACCAGATAATTTAATTCTGCAGAAAAAAACTCTCTAAAATATATTATTTAAAATAAAAAATAAAAAACATTTTTTAAAGTATTATTTCACAAAACAGATATTAGTTGTAAACCCCAAATGTCTCATATTATCTATTATGTTTGTAAAAACAATGTATTTAAAAACTTATTGGATTTATTGACGATTAATTAGATAATTATGATCATATTAAAATGAAACCAGTCATAAGAGTCATACCAGTCAGTCAATCAGTCATAACAGGGAAAATATAAGCCAAAACTGTTGGAAAAAATCCATGCAGTAGCCATTCATAAAATCTTTAAATTTTAAAGAGCTTCAATATATAATTGGTTCAAAATACGATTGGAACAATCAAAGAATAACTTATAACAGGTTTTCTCTTGCTAATTATTAAATGTATAATACTCAAACTGTAATTTAACTTTTTTATCCTGTGAATATTCTATTTATAAAGTAAAATTATCATACATATTTTCCTAATGGGGATAAAAAGAGAAACTATCAAATGGAGATAAAAAGAAAAACTAAAAACAAAACAATTTAGATTGAGAAGCAGATTCGAAACCATGATTTTGCCAACAATGTAATAGTAAACTTTTTTTTTTAATAAATAATAAAATTACATAAAACATTAATAACAATGATATTTATGATTTTTGTGTTTTACTTTACACACTGTACAATATGTAATAAAAATTTAAATGCAAAAAAAATATACATATAAAAATAAATAATTCAAATGAAATTACCATCAAGCCATTTTCATAACCATTATATTGAAAGTATGAAATGGCATAATCATCACGACAGCCAAACAATTCATACTTTTTAGGATGAAAAAACAATTCGGTAGATGCAACTTTACGCAAAATGCGTATCCTATTTGCAACTATTTCTGGATCAAAACGACCAAAGGCAAATCCTTCAAAATCAAAATTGTATTCTAATTCTTTAACTGTGTATATCTAAACAAAAATGTTTTGAAATTTGATTTAAAAAAACAAGACTCTTTCTGATAAGCAATTTGCAGACATTAATTGTAATTGATTTTTTTTATCAAAAAAGTTTCCTTAACAACTATGACACTTTATAATAATTATTGTAGCCTGATTTTTTACATTATGTGAGTTTATTAGCAAGCTAATTACAGTCTGCAAAAACTGAAGAACTTCAGGTTTGCATAAAAGTACTTATCTTACACCAGGCCAGCAACATTTTGCTTTTGATTTTTTGCATCCTGTTATGAAAGAGTAAACGATTAATTGGTTATAAAAACTTTATAAGAACATAGCTGTAGACAATATTATTTTATGACAATATTATTTTATGACAATATTATATGACAATATTATTTTGAAGAACGTAGCAAAAACACTTTATAAATGATTTTTTAGTTTCAAAAATGCCTTTTAACAAAAAAATTATTACATATTTATTAGTTTTTTCATAAAAAGAAAATTGTTTATGTTAAGTATACTAACCCTAAACTTTCCTATTAAACTTTAAATAATTTGAAAGCTTAATAACATTATATCATAAATTGCGCTAAAATTTTGAGTAAAAAAAGTAGAACAAATGTATTAATAGTAAGTTTTATTAACATTTGAATGAATTGATGACCTAGCTATACTTTTATGAATGGTTTGGAGCCATTAAAGCCAAAAATCATAGAACAAAAACTTTTGTTATGTAACTTATCTGAAAATACTTGCTGCTTGATTACGTAAATAATAGTGCTAGCATTCAATAACTGAAAAATGTAATAATAAATAAATTTAAAAAGAAGTTTTAATAGCCAAAATATTTTTTTAAATGACAAAAAAATAATAACAGTGAAAATTAAAAAAAAAATTGTTTTTAAAAAAAGGGAATAAGATTAAAAAAAGTTTAAAAACTTACAATTTATGGCAATCTTTTAAAAGTAAAAGTAAAGATAAAAAGCCTGTGTATTTAATAAAAAGGTTTTTTTCTTAAATACACAGAAAAACATCTTTTGCTTTCAATTTTTTTGCTTAAACAAATGGCTACCATAATAAAAGAATTGGAGAAAAATGAATTAAAATTTTTTTTTTAATTTAAACAAATCTTCTATATCTTGATATAACAGTTTCAATAAATAAAATGAAATTTTTTTATTAAATGCAATAGTAAAGCAAAATATTATTAATGTATGCCTTAGTAAAGCTAAGATAGATTGCCTTTTGCATCTGCATTGCTGTATGCCAACCTAAATTTTGCAGGCTGTAATTAGGCTGTAATTAAACTTTAGAAATTCCGCTGCATAATTTTCAGCAACATAAATATATTGTACCTAGATATTACTTGCTGATTCCTCAACCTATAAGTTAATACCAAGCTTTTTTAAGTTCAATTGCAAATTAAAAAGAAAGTGCTTTATAAAAAAACAATGAATATTTTAAATGAGTATTCATGAAAATGTTCTTAATTCTGTTCAGACAAAAAAATGTTTTATAAAATATATGCACAAAGCAGTAATCTAAAATAGTAAAACAATTTTTTTTTCACAAAATAATTTTTTTTTGACATCTAAACAAGGTGACACTTTTATTTCAATAAAGTAATGTGAAGCAGTTAAAAAAAAAACACATTGCAATTTTTAATTTGATTTTGGGATTGTAATTGTTTTTTTATTTATAAATAATTTTCTAAAATGTCTTGTTTTGCCCCAAAAAATTTTATTAAATTTACTTTTCCAAGACTCCAAAGGATTTCAAAAGACTCTAGAGGGGCCACTATATTTGAGAAGGTTACTCATTATTATTGTTTGAATTTTATTTGCAACTTTCTTCAATCCTAAAACCATATGTTTAATGATATTAAATAACATCTCTGCACAGAGAACCTTGTTGAGGATGCTTGCTTCTAGAGAAATTGAATGGATCCCGATTAAAAAGTTTGAGGGTGAACCTCAAACTTCTTGATTGTGAACTTTAAACTTCTTGATTGTGAGCCAAGTGTTCTACCACTAATCGCTTAAGTTAACTAAGTTAACTTAAGCGATTAGTGGTAGCGATTAATTGATAAGCGATTTCAGCTTAATTAGTCTTAAGTTAATCTAAGACCGATTAAGAAAATAAGAAAAACCATCAAAAAAAGACTTTAATACTCTTGTTTATAGTAAAATATTCAAATTGCATGTTTTATAAGAATTTTAGCAACTATATGGAAATTGAACAACATGACCTGAATTTATCCAACACTATGTAGCAGATGATGTATTTTGTAAAATAAAACTAGATATGGGAATAGTTTTTTTTGTGTGTGCTTATATTGCTGCTTGAGATGTTACTGGTTCTGTTATCTTTTTTAAAGATAAAATTTTTATCTTTTACTATCCTCCTTAAAATCTATACTCTTTGATATTACATAATATCCAATCAAGCAGTAAGTCTGCAGTTCAACATTAAAATATATATTCTTTGATATCATAATAATATTTTGTTCAACAGTAAATCAGCAGTTTAATATTCTATGCTTTTAAAGTAAAATATTAATAACTAAATAGTTTACATGAATATTATGAGGTAATATTGCTTGTTATGTTAGTTATGTTGTACTTAAAGAATTAGTTAACTTATAGAATTAGTTTACATGAATACTATTGGGTAATATTTCAATAGCTTGTTAAGAAAAATTGTCAGAGTTTCAGTTAGGGAATGATTAAAAGAATAGCTGAACTTTCATTTTTGTGTTTAATACACAAAAAATAGTATACAGTAAATTTTGATCAGTTGACAAAAATTGTTTCTGTCTATTTATGTGCTTTTGTAATGCACATTGTCTATGGTTTTGGATAAAAAATAATTCTTTTTTAACTTGGATTTATTAAAAAACATGATGCGCTTTTAGAGATTTGTGGGATTTAATACCTTTTGAACTCTGTTTACAAATTGATTTAAACTATGTTCAAAAAGCAAGTTCTTTACCACTGCACTGCTTCCACATATTCTTTATATAAAAAATTTAATTGAAGATCAACATGATCAAATCTTTTCTTTGAATGTTTAAACATGAATTTTCTGAAAGTTGGTCGAAGCTTTTCATAAGTCCGAAAAAAGATACTAGCCACTAAATAAGCAATATGTGCTGTGATTGCACAGCACAATACTGCTATGCTGTGCTGTGATAAGCAGTAGATATTATGCTGTGATTGAAATAGTATTTTAGTACAACTAAAACACAGGTGTACTATTTGCTGTGACTACTATTCTACTATTTGCTGTGAATTTAGAAAATAGAGACTACTTAAGTAAATATTTTAATTTAATTTATTCTTAAACTACGACATCAGAAGAATGAATTAATGTTTAACTAAAAGTAGATTCTTTTACACAATTCTAAACTCAATGTTATTTTTGGAATATAATTTTATTAAAAATATTTTCAAAAAATTTTAATTAATAAATAATAAAGAAAAAAAAAATGTTAAAAATTATTTTGAAAGTAGTAAGATTAATTTAAAAGTTTTCCCAAACAAGTTTAGAGTTTTTACTTTGAAAGAACAAGGAAGATTAAGATGTTTTTATATGCTTTATACAAAAAATATTCAGTTTAACTTCAATGTATATCAATATATTTTCCTAAATGCATTAAAAAAAAAATACAAAAAAAAATGCAACACTGCAATGTAGTTTAAATTTATTATTTAATTTTTTTTTTAATTTTTAATTTATATTTATATTTAATTTGGTTGTTTATTGCTGTGGCACAATTTAGAAAATAGAGACTCCTTAAGTAAATATTTTAATTTAATTTATTCTTAAACTATGACATCAGAAGAATGAACTAATGTAGTTTACATTTATTATACAATAAAGTCTTTATATACAATGTTGTTAAATTTATAAATTTTTCCAACATTACATTTTAAGTTTTTAAACAGTTTTTAAATGAGGCTTATTGAAAAACCTTATAATGCTGGCCTAAATTTCAACTTAGTTAAAATTCTATTCATGATAGCATCTGATTAGAATATCTAATTTTTTTTCTATTTTGTTGATAAATATATTTTATAAAAATCTACTCTAATAAAAACATATGAAAGACGTTTTTGAATTTGATTATTGCAATGCTAAAAATAATCATTTTGATCAAAAAAGTTGTAGAACTAAACTAAACTTTTTGATCAAAATTTTGATCAAAAATTTTTGATCAAAAAAGTTGTAGAACTAAACTAAACTTGTAAAAGCTAAACTAAACTTTTAGGAAAATAAAAACTTTCAAACTTTTCTAGTTCCATTAACATCTTTGTATTGTTCCCAGATACATGTGCCATCATAATATTCTACGCAGAATTCAAACACAAATGGTATTTCATTATATTCAGGGAGTAAATAGTAAACACGAAATCCAGTTAAACGATAGGCATTTCCTGAAAATAAAAATTGAAAATGAAGATTTATCATGGTAATGCATTTTTTAACACATTGACAAAATAAATTTACAACTATATTCATATACATATTGCCCTAAGGTAATAGTAGTAATGCAGCAGGGTTGGATCAAATACGTATTTGTATTTGGCTTATTTGGTGCATTTGTTTTCATATTGTATTTAATAAAAATTTCTTCACTTTTTGTATTTGATTGAAATGTATTTGCAGTTAAATAAACTAGGTTAATCATTGTTTTTTTACAAAATACCAAAAGGTTCTTCAGGGTGACTACATGTTTTTTGTTTGAAAAAATTAGGATAATTTAGGAGATTTTTTAAGGCTTTTAAGGAGATTAAATTATTTTTTAAGGAGATTTACCAGGAAATTTCATAAAACAAAATAAAAATCTCTTGAGATTTTAGAAGAATTTAAAAAAATAACATGGCACTAAATTATTTTCATTTTAAACTGAAAGAATGCCTAGCTAAAATAAATAAGATAAAATTAGGGCCTAAACACTGCTATTTAAAATAATCTAACATCTCTGCACGTACAAAAATATTAACTTGAAATAAATCTATTTCATACCATTAAAAATTTATCAAGTTTAACATTGCACTAAATGACTTTATGACTAAGTAACAAACAATAAATAATTAAAAATCTTTAAAATACACAGCCAATTTCAAAAACTAAACTTTCATATTATCCAGTCATAAAAATAAATAATCAAATCAGAAAAAAAAAAAAATAGTTTAAAAAACTTAAGCATTCAAATCTAAATCTCAGCTTTCTTATACTTTTTTTGCTGCTATAATTTTTTCCAGTTAGTCCTGCTTTTCAGAGGCAACCCTACTTAGTGCATTAGATTTTAGAATAGCTGACTTAATTTCTATCAATGACTTCTGCTTTTCCATTTGCCATGCATACTCATCTGCATCATATCTGAGCTGAAGTATGGTACCTTCAAGGGTGTGATCTCTTTATTAAAGTTTTTCAGTTTAGTATCACGGTCAGTTTTTAAGGCCTTTAGGGACTTCTCTTTCTGACTGTTAAAGTATTTTAGCAGTCAGAAAGAGATTTTCCTTGACATGTCCCATAAGTTTAGTTGTTATAGCCAATTGGGATGATTTTATATTTTCACTGCACATGCGGTCATGCACAATTTTCTGTGCAACAAGAGTACCAGTTACATATTATTATCAAGAAGTTGGTCGTTTATACTAAACCCACCCTTTAATTGTGCTTGGCCATGGGATAATATTAGTAACAATTGGTAAATTTTCATAAAGTCCTTGAATCTTGAAGCATCTGTATATTGAACCAAAAAAGAATCAAATCTATAACTTTTTTTTTTGAACCCAAGGAATTTCTCCTTGTTCAATTTTACAACAGTTAAAAATTGTGAATACTGCAATTTGGCTTGATCAGCAGCAGAAGGTTTTTTATGAGCAACTAATTTCAGCAACAACTTGTCAAAATAAAGTTTACACATCCACCATGAGATTCCTATATTTACAAAGATGACAAACATAATAAGTATCTGGCCAAATTTTAATTTAGCACACTTTTTTCAACCATATGTTTGCAAATTGTAACTAAAAACTGTTGAACTTCTGTTTTAAAAATATATATTTGTGCATCAGTAACTTTTTTTCTAGATTTCAGTTGATGCAACTCATATTTTATTCCAAACCCAAGATAAATATTTGTGACCAACACTTAATTTTTGACATCACTGATATCAACTTTTATTAATTTAAAAGTTGTAGATGCTTTAGACAAAACTTCTTTTCTGATAAACTTCGATAAAAAATAATCTCAGTAAATTCTCAAGTGTTTCCACAAGGAAAGGTGTCATAGGATTGTTGGTTTGGAAAACTAACAATAAAGAATTTAACAATTTTGCAGTTTCTTTGAAAAATTGCAACTTTATCTTTATAGCATGAAGTAAGGTATTCATAACTGGTATTTTACCCAGGCTCACATAGACCAAGTTGCTTGCTTTTTGGTAAATTTTTCCAAAAGCAAATAATCACAATAAGCTTATGCCATATTTCCCATAGTTCTTTTTGCTACTTTCTCATTTTCAATCCAACGATGGCTACAGAACTGTAGAGCATAGCCTGAAGACTGAGCTTGAGTAAGATTTTCAAAATCAGCACAACAAGAAAGCCTCTCATGAAATATCTTATACAACTAAGACAGTAATTTGTTTAATTTCCATCTTGAAGCATTTGTACCATTCTTTAATGAACAGTGCATTGTGTGAAGGCCACATGATCTAATTGATACTAACTGAGTTCGCATTCACTTCTCTTAGCATTCAAATTAAAAATCTTCTTTTAGATCACTCATACATTAACAGAGATTTATCATAATATCGACATCAGCAGTTTTCCCCAAGAATTCAGAGCTGTAATATCTTGTTTTTATCATCTCTAATGAAGAGTTCCAATATCTAACATACAAATCCATCTGACTCTTCCACTCACAGGAATATTTTGTTTATATTTTCATTCATTAACATCTATTTTCAATGTGTTTGTATCCAGATCTGCAACAGACATAACCTTCAAACACACATTACATTTAATATTCAAAAACACATGTTTCTTTCATTAACATGTACTTTCAATGTGTTTGTATGCAGTTCTGCAACAGATAAAACCTTTAAACATACAGCAATCATCTAAACCATATTTTAAAAATTCAGAATAAAAAATATTGTTAAACAATGCAGAATAGTTTATTTTATAAATTTAGCATTTAGCTGGTGGCTTTCTCAATTTTTGATTAAAATGCGATGATTAAAAAAGTTAAAAAAACAGATATAAAACAAAATTATATTTTTAGAAAAAAACTTTTGGCAAAAAGGAGTAGTTAAAAGAAATATAATGGGGAAATAAAAAATCATCAAACATACTTAACATATTAACATAAACTTAACTAAATAAATTTTTTTTATAATTATTGTCTTTTAACCGCTCTTAAAATTTAGCTTTATATTTGACTGACATTTTCTATTCAGATAATACAAAATTATTTTAGATCAACTTAATTAAAATCAAATTTTAAGAAAAATAATTTTTATGTTCAGAACTTAAACAGAATAAGAAAAAACAGCTTAAATGTTATTAGAATAAAAACTTTAAATTATTAAAATAATATAAAAAAATTAAATATACATTTGAGCAAATTATTTTTTCTCAGTATAAAACAGTACTAACTCCAAGTCTGAACCATTTCATTAATTGTTGATTGGCTAATAATAGTTTATGCATTATACTCAGGAAAATAAAATTATGAGAATTTAATAGTATTTGAGAAAATCATCTAAATTTAGGAAAAATTAGGTCTTTTTAGGATGTTTTTCAAATATTAGGATATTTTAGGAGGCATGGCCACCCTGGTTCTTTGTTTTTTTTTGTTTTGTTTTGAACACTAAAATAAATAAAAAATTTGTTTTTACGGGATATTTTTTAAAAGACTTGTTTTTATTCTTTCATATAATAAGCCATTTTATAATTCTTGTCTTGAGAAAATCTTTATATTTTTTTTAACCTAAATTAAAAATATTCCTATTTATTAATTTAGAAAACCAGAAAAATCTTAAAAAGTTTAAAAAATTGAAAAAATTCTTTTATTTATTTGAAAAACCAAACCTAAACTAAAACAATAAATTAATACACTCCTCACATGTTCTACCTAATTGGCAGACAATGTAGCAGCACTCCTTGCATGTTCTATATATTTGTCAGTCAATGTAGCAGCACTTTACA